CTTCCTCCTTAAAAGTTTCAATTGATAATTCTTGACCTCCAGGAAAAAAATTTATTAAAGCCCTTCCTAGGCTTGGCTATAATATTTATACTCTGTCCAAAACGAAAAGGAAAATCAGCAAGGAGTGGTAGCTCAAGCCTGTAATCCCAACGACTTGGGAAGTAGAGATCAGGGGATTATGGTTCAAGGCCAGCCCTGGTGCAAAAGTTCAAGAGACTCCACCTCAAACAGGGGCTGAATGTGGTGGTAGGCTTCTGTGATCTCTAGTGACTCGAGGAAGCACAAGTAGGAGAGTCTCAGCACAAGGAACACAGAACAGGAGAGCCCCAACATAAAGAGAGACACTACCTTGAAAAGAACCGAGGCAAAAAGGGGCTTGACTCAAGTGGTAGAAAGCCTGCTTTGTCAGTTGGGAGCTGTGGACCAGTCAGAGTGTTTGTCACTTTCAGGACTCTTGGAGTCCAGAGGCATTGTAGGATTAAAGAAAAACAAAGAAACTCGCTTCACAAAGGTGTCTTTGAAGATTGAAGAGAATGAAATAGAGCATGCTCTGAAAGACAAAGCTTTAATTGGAAATATTTTAGCTACTGGATTATCTTAAATTTTTTCCTTAAATCCCACCCGAAACCATTCAGCTGGCAATTTTGTAAGCTATGGAGTCTTCAGTTTAGTACTTTATATGTTCAAGCTTCCTGAAAACAAATACGACTTTTTTTTAACTTGAAACAAATGAATTTTAATCTATAAGCTCATGAAGATTATACTGAATAATATCTTTGGGATTTTTTTTAACCTATAGAAATGACTTGAGTTATTTTTACGTTATATTTACAGGCTGGGAATGTGGCTTAGTGGCAGAGTGCTTGCCTACCATGCATGAAGCCCTAGGTTCCCTCAGTACCACATAAACAGAAAAAGCCAGAAGTGGTGCTGTGGCTCAAAGTGGTAAAGCGCTAGCCTTGAGTGAAAACTCAGGGACAGTGACCAGACCCTGAGTTCAAGCCCCATGACCGAAAAAAAAAAATAAAAATTACTGCCCCTTAACCAACATGTTTGTAAGTACGCAGATTTATGTTGTATATGTGTATATAATTTATCTTGAAGTTTTCTCAGACAGTATGTTTTGTGAAGAAGAACTTTGTTAGGTTAAGAAGAATGAAAGAGAATGATCGGAAAAATAAGCAAGACTATCCACAAAGATATTCAAAAGACAAAGGACACTTTGACCCAAGAATGTATTTCACTTTGGAGTTTTACTGGGTTTATGTTGCAGATGCCCCGACACTGTGACCTTTGAAAGATTCATTGAGTTTCCCTGGGACTCCCTGAAACATTGAAGGTGATAAGGAGAATGTAACTCTACAGATTGTGAATGTATTTATTTTTCAAGTTGTGTTAAAAAAAAAAAAAAAAGAAAGCCTGCTTTGTAAGGGTGTCCCTAATTCAATCCCCAGGATTGTTAAGATGTGTGTGAGAGAGAGAGGGGGGAGGGGGCTGGATAAAGTCTGAGAATACAGTACATATGTTCATAGATAAAAATTTAAACATTCAGCCAGGCAATGGTGGCTCATGCCTGTAACCCTAGCTATTCAGGAGGTTCTTAGTTCAAGGCTAGCACAGGCAAAAATGTTCCCAAGACTCTTAATTCCAATTCACCTACAAAAAGCCAGAAGTAAAGGCATGACTTAAGTGGTAGATTGCTATCCTTGAGCAAAAAAGCTTAGGGAAAGCGTCCAGGCCCTGAGTTCAAGCCCCAGGACTGGCACACAAAAAATTAAACATATGCTTTTCAAGGATCCTTGATGAGAGTCTAAAATTGATAGCAAATATAAATTAGCCTAAATATAAAACAAATTAGCCTAAATTTATATGCAAACCATTCTAGCTACCTGCATATTGTCTTAATTTAGCACAAAGAATATATAACAAGAGTTTTAAAAGAATGTCAAATTTATGAGACATGTTTGTGATGAAGTATTGAGGATGTCTGGCTTACTTCGATGTGCACTGTAGACTTTCAACCAAGAATAATATGTTACATAATTCATTGATAATTTATCTATTTATAATCTATCAAGTGAAAGAGAAGTGGAATGACAGATTGCTATGGCTAGTAAAGTTGCTTTTTAAAAACATATTGCAGAGTGTGGAAGGTAGGGAAAAACTGGGAGAGAAAGAGGGAAGAGCAGACATTATTTGAAAAGAAATGTACTCTTTACTTGACATAGAACCCCCATGTACATCACCTTGATCGTATCAATAAAAATGTTTAAAATGTATTGCGATTTGTTTTCTACACATAGGCTATTAACATTAGGCTGTCCAGTGTCAAAGTTATACCTATTACACGTGTTTGGTGGCAATATGCCTTACAATGCTGTGCTTTGGAGCAGCTCTTACAGTCCAAACTCTCAGTGAAATCTTGTAGGAAGCATGAAGTCAGCCATAGTGTGGTATTAGTTCTTGCTATAAACCAGAGCATTCCAAGCTACAGTCAACATTTTGGGAATTATAAGCACACTGATGTTAGTTATGCCTGCAGCATCTCTACCTGCAAACTACTGGGCCAAATCTTAGAAACCAGGCTCTGCTGGTTTTTTTTTTTTTTTTTTTAATTTAATTTTATTTTACTTGAGAACATACTGTACAGAGGGGTTACAATTACATGGGCAGGATAATGCATACATTTCTTACCAAGCATTGCAGCCTCCTCCTTTGTTTACCCTTCACCTCCCTTCCCAGCCTCCCCCCTCCCTCCCACCCAATCATACCCCCCCCTCCCCCCCCCCCCCCCCCCCCCCCCGACATTGTAAAGCTGGTTTTGACAAGGGCGGTATTTGGGTAAGATAATGCAACCCTGTCTTCCCAGTTACGTGGGAAGGTAGAGGTTTTTGTCCAGGCCAGTCTAGACACAAGTTAGCAAGACACCGCCCCCCCCCCCCAGCCCCACCACACCCCCACCTCAGTCAGCAAGCTTAAAGTGGGGGAGGGTATGTGCTTTTGATCTCAGCCTGTGGGAGGCCAGAGGGAGGAGGATCATACTTGATCCCCAGCCCTGGGGGAAATTTTGAGATTTATCTGGAAAAAAATAATATATCATTTAACAAAAATGAAGTTGCTTTTAACCAAAGGTCAGAATTTTCTTCAATCAGATTAATCATGACTGAAAAGAGTGTAACAGTGGATTGAAGTGATGAGAAAAGCACTTATATACAATGATAATAAAAACGTGAATATTTTAAAAGAAATTTAACGTAGAAATAAAAAATCTTTTCCTCTGTATTTCCATTTAACCTGCAGAAAGATTATAAAAATGTCCCAGAAAAGTGTTAGCTAGGTTAGATAAACTCAGAATGGGTAGATATACATTTCATATTTTTGCCTGGAAGAATATCAGTTAGTAATGTCAGTATAAGTGGAAAGTAAAAAATCTTAAAAAGGCAAAGGAAATGATCTGTAACAATTGATATGATTTACTCAGAAGAAGTTAAAACAGAAGATTACACACATATATACAGGGACTAGAAATAAATTCAACTGAATAGTAACTGAAACTAGGGTATTTATAATAGGAAAAAAATCCTAATACTGTGTGTTTCTATAATTTCTAAAATCTAATACAAGAAGAAAAATAATAACATTTAAACTGAAGATGAATATTTCAAATGTATTATACAATAAATTTTGATTTGGAAAAAACTTGTGTTATGGTAAATTTCACAAAAATCTTGCATATAACAGAAACTAGTATGTAAGTTATTACATTTTGTGGCACTGAGCTAAGGGATCTGCTATTAACTTCATAAAGAACATATTCATCTGTTTATATATAAAGCACTATTTTTACCTAAAGTCATGATTCATATCTTTGACTTAGCATCTTCTTATATTTTCATAATCTCCAAGAAAGAATTTTAATTGGTATCAACTTCAATGAAATGCTTATCATGCAGATCAGAAAAAGTATAAAAATAGAAAAAAACATTTGAATGTTTCAAAACAGAGAAGAAATTTCTGCCTGAAATATATATTTGAAATTAACCCAGGAAAAGTGCAGATTGCAAGAAAAAAATAGACAAAAAATACAAGAGAATTAAGGAAAAGAAAAAACATATTATTGCTGTACTTACCTGTGTCTATGAGAGATAAAAGATATGTGTATGTTAGAAGAGTATTAAAAATACTCTTTCCTTTTGGTATAAAAGAAATTTTAATACTATTAAAATATGGTCTACTATTACTTGCTGCTTTTAATGACTTATATTTGAAGTACACATCTTTATTTTAAAATACTTAATTGGCAAATAGAGATTGAATATAGTCAAGGTATCCAACATAGATGATTTTATACACACACACACACACACACACACACATACACACACACACACACACACACACACCATTGTGAAATGATGACCACAATCTAATTAACATACCTACCACATCCATGAAGTTCATGAGATCCTGAGAACTTAATCATCCTATAACTGAAAATTTCTAACTATTCTTTGATGCCTAGATAATAAACAACAAGTACGTGATAGCTGGAGATTGACTTTTGTGACCAAGAAATAAAACAAGAAATAGCTGGGTGCTGGTAGCTCACACCAGTGATCTTAGCTACTCAGGAGACTAAGATCTACGGATCTTGGTTCAAAGCCATCTGGGCAAGGAAGCCTGCGGGACTCTTCTCTCCAATTAATCACCAGAAAACCAGAAATGGAGCTGTGGCTCAAGTGGCAGAGGGCTAGCCTTGAGCTGAAGAGCTTAGGGACAGCACTTGAGCCCGGAGTTCAAGTCCCAGGAGTGGTACACACACACATGCGTGCGCGCGTGCACACACACACACACACAAATATAGGGTACTCTTGATATTTCAAATCTACTTAAGGCAACACTGACACTGATATATCAGCACCACCTTTATTCTCAGGAGGCTGTATAGCACCGCAGGCTCACAGGTACTTGACTGACCTGTGCCTTGATCCATGGCTTACCTGAAATTTTTACTTGAGACACAACTCCATCTCCCCCGTCACTGTGTGCTCGAACCTCCACCACGTACTCTCCATCGCGGGGGATGGGCAACTCGATGGAGTGCTTGTGCGTGGAGTACAGCTTGCCGTCATGCTGCCCGTCAGGCCTGTAGAGGACCTTTGAAGGCCAAACACACACTTCACCAAGGCATGCTAAGGACTCAACACCCCAGTACTAAAAACCCTTCATGCTTTCAGTTTACGTTTTAACTCTGTGTGTGTGTGTGTGTTTGTGTGTGTGTGTGTGTACTAAAGCTTGAACTCTGGGCCTGGGTGCTGTCCCTCAGCTCTTCAACTCAAGGCTAGCACTCTGCCACTTGATCCACAGCACCACTTCCGGTGTTCTTGTGGTTAATTGGAGATAAGAGTCTCACAGACTTTCCTGTCCTGCTGGTCTTGAACTGCGATCCTCAGATCTCAGCCTCCTGAGTAGCTAGAATTACAGCCATGAGCCACTGGCATCCGGTGTCATTTTTTTTTTTAATAAAAATACTTTTGCTAGGTGCTGGTAGCTCATGCCTGTAATCCTAGATACTCAGGAGGCTGAGATTTGAGGATTGCAGTTTGAAGTCGGTCTGCCTGTAATCCTAGATACTCAGGAGGCTGAGATTTGAGGATTGCAGTTTGAAGTCAGTCTAGGCAAGAAAGTCCATGAAACTCTTATTTCTAATTAACCAGCCAAAAACCCCAAACAAACAAAAACCAGAAGTGGAGCTGTGGCACAAGTGGTAGAGTGCTTGCCTTGAGCAAAACAGGGAGGGTGCTGCTGAGTTTAAGCCCCAGCACACTAATACCTCTTTAAGGTATTCCTTCCCGGACCCCCACCCCCCCACCCCAAACCAATACTATAGTTAGAACTTAGGACCTTGACCTTATCTTTCACTAGATTTTTTTTTCTGCTCATGGCTGGCACTCTACAATCTGAGCCAAACATCCAGCCCATCATTTTGCTAATTGATTGGAAATGGGCTCTTGCCTAGGCTGGTCTGAAACTGATCTCTGCCTCCTGCGTTAGCTAGGATTACAGGTATGAGCTACCAGCACTCAAATTAACAACACTATTCTTTCAAAACAGTTATTCTGCTTATCTTACTCCTTTGACATAGCTTTCTCCTAAAATTCACTTAAGAAGCCGGTCTTCTCATTTCAAAATTTATCATGAAACTAGGCCATCTGATTCTGCGTACCCAAGCAGAATGAAAGAGCTGGGTGAGTTTCACTGACATGGCAGGGATGGGCTCAGGGATGATTAGCTGTAAGAATTCAGCTTTGTGAGGAGGAAAGGCGAAGTTGTCATTTACTTACCTTGTATCCTGTCACAGTAGACTCATTGGACAGTGCAACCACGTGGTCCCAGGTGATGATGTAACGTGAACCGGACCTTATGGAACTTATGATCCTTGGTGGTTGGCTGGGAGCTGTGGGAAGCAATGGCATGCAAGCAGCGGTCACCAATTCCAACCTTAGTTCTGCAGAATTCACTGCATCAGGAACTGCAATGCTGGTGATAACCATGCTGCCAGCAATTGGCCTTTGAAGAGTGTGCTGAGTGGGTACATGCAAGACTTTACTGCACTGGAGGAAGTGGGGGAATGGAACCATTTTTGTTTCTCTCCCCATCATGCTTTCTCCTCTTGGGGTGTGTGTGTGTGTGTGTGTTGGTCCTAGCGCTTGAACTCAGAGCCTGGGTGCTGTTCTTAAGCTTTTGTGTTCCAGGCTAGCACTCTCCTACTTGAGCCACAGCTCTGCTTATGGCTTTTGGATGGTTAAGTGGAGATAAAAGTCTGGAAGACGTTCCTGCCCCGGAAGGTATGGAATTGCAATCCTCATATCTTCCTTAGTAGTTAGGATTACAGGCATGAGCCACTGGTGCCCAGCACCAAATCTAGTCTTTTTTTTTTTAATATATAAAAACTACTATTTTCACCTCCACTGAGCCAAATCTGTTTAGTTTTCACTGTTTTCAAACCTGTGAAACAGCACAGATTTGACCTTCTTTTAAGTTTATGATTATTCTATGGATTTTTCACCTGCTGTTCCCTCTCATTCATCCTCCTGAGCCAGCTTTATATTTTTCTACTCAAGCTGGATAGTTTATCCTGAACATTCTTCTCAGATGCTCTGTCAAACTTCTGCAGGGACTTAAATCATAGCTTTAAATCGCACAATTGTAGCTGTACCTCAATCTCTTTCTTGTCTTTTATTTTATTTATTTGTTGGTCATGGGTTTGAACTCAGGACCTGGGCACTGTACCTGAGCTCTACCACTTTGAACCACAGGGCCACTTCTGATTTTCTAGTGGTTCATTGGAGTTAAGAATCTCATGGACTTTTCCTTCCAGGTCTGGCTTTGAACTGTGATCCTCAGATCTCAGCCTCCTGAGAAGTTGGGATTATAGGTGTGAGTCACCAGTGCCCTTATTTTTTGTCCTTTATACAGAGGTGCCCAACTGTCTATTTCTACTTGAATGAAAGACTTCTCAGATACAGTACAATCAAGATGGAATACTGGTCATGTCCCTGTTAATCTGCCTTTTGGGAGTCTTTCCCACTCTGTGCAGACGGTATAACCAGACTCCCAGCATGTGAAGCCAAGAGCTGGTGCTCAGTCTTCTATTTTCTCATGTCCAACACTCATGTCCAAATAAGTAGGGAGTTTTCAACTGTACCTGCAGAAAAATTCCCACTTCTGTCTTCATCCCCACTTCTGGTGAGCCATTAGCAATTCCCTGCTCAAATACTAGATCATTTATTGGTTAGCTTTCCTGCTTTCTCTGCTTGACCTCAGGGCTAGGGCATTCTCCCTTAATTTTCTAACTCAAGCCTAGTGCTCTATCACTTGAGCCATATTTCACTTTCAGCTTTTTGTTAGTTAATTAGAGATAAGAGTTTCTTGAACTTTTCTGCCTGGGATAGCTTCCTGAGTAGCTAGGACTACAAGCATGAGCCACTGTAAGCACTTTAACTCATTTTTGATTAATGGATACATGTGAAGGATAATTAAGTTAGAGGTAAGCTCATTTTGTGTGTTTGTGTGCTGCTGAGGACTGAAGTCAGGTCCTTGAATTCACAAGGTAAGCATTCTTCCATTGAGCTAAATCCCCAACCCCATAATTTTTCTATTATCATTCAGGAAGTCAGAGTAGATCTCAAACTCATATTTGATACCAAATAATCTTCCCACTGCTTTCTGTGACCTCATTAAGAGATTCTGTCTCCAAGGAAATTTTATAAATTTTCTAACCCTAGTGGTAATCATGATTGAGGATTCCTAGGAAAAGTTCCTGAGTCCTGCATAAAAAATTCTCCTTTTAAGTATATTTCATTGGCTGCTAGATGCCTGTAATCCTAGTACACAGAATGCTGAGATCTAAGGATCACAGTTCCAAGCTAGCCTGGGCAGGAAAGTCTGTGAGACTCTTATTTCCAATTAATCACCAAAAAGTCAGAAGTGTTGTTGTGGCTCAAGTGGTAGAGGACCAGTCTTGAGAAAAAAGGTCAGAGACATTGCCCAGGCTCTAAGTTCAAGTCCTAGGACCAGCACAAATACACACACACACACATATATTTCTTCAAGAAGTAGACTATCAAGTTTAAGCTTAACACATTAGGATGGGCAGAGGATCAGATGGTCTTATCATATAAAGGTTGAGACAGTATAGTAGTAAGATGACAAGCATAATACTACAACAGCTAACTTGCATTGACACTGTGCAATGACGAAGATGTCTAAATCAAGCATGGAAAAATGAGCAGCTATTATCTTTCATAGGTTGTCCATGAATTCCTCTCCCCACAAGAATTCAAAACTATTAAAACTAATAATTATAAAAGGCAGCCAAGTTAAGTGTGGTACACAGCTTGAAGTGATAACTTTCTAAGTGATAATTCTGTAATTTTATTGCTATAATGGACCTGTATACATTAAATGGCTAAGGCATTCTTCACATTATTTTAGTATCTATACTAGATAACAATGATTTAATAAAAAAAAAAAAAGAAATCTTGTGTAGCCAGGCACTGGTGGCTCATATCTATGACTTAGCTACTACTCTGGAGGCAGAGATCTGAGAATCAAAGTTTGGAGACAGCCTGAGCAGATAAATCCATGAGACTCCTAATTTCAAACAACCAGGAGGAAGTGGGAAGTAGATCAATTGGTAGAATGCATGCCAGCCTGAAGCAAAAACACTGTGAGAGCACAAGGCCCTGAGTTCAAGTGTCAGTATGAAAAAAAAAATCTTGCATAAGTATAAAAGAGATCACTGACACCAGATGTGGTTAGATGGCTAGGCAGGAAATGGCTGTGCTGGGTGGGTCTGCATCATGATTGACAGGTCTGCACTCAAATGACACTCACGTGCTTTCTTGGTGAAGGTCTCAATCACATCACTTGAAGGTCCACACCCAGCACTGTTGCAGGCTCCGACTTCCACAAAGTACTGAGTGTCGGGCAGGAGGTTCTCCAGCCTGGCTGAATACTCCTGGCTGGGGACTTGAACCCGGTGTGCTGCTGCTTCCTTGTCATGGGCCGCCCAATAGCGAATCTATGAACATCCAAGATGAGTAACATTTTTGTCATGATTTAAACTTGTTGGTTGTAAAAAGTTGTTTTCCATTGGCTGTCACTTGGTGTTGAGTATCAAAAATTCTTAACTATTACATTATTATATTTACCCTTTTTTGGGGGGGGTCCTGTCATGGGACCTGAACTCTGGGCCTGGGCGCTGTCCCTCAGCTCTTCAGCTCAAGGCTAGTGCCTTACCAATTGAGCCACAGCACCATTTCCGGCTTTTTCTGCTTATGTGGTGCTGAGGAATCGAACCCAGGGCCTCAAGCATGCAAGGCAAGCGCTCTACCACTGAGCCAACTTCCCAGCCCCTATATTACACTTTTATCAGTCTTAGAATAAGGCAATCTAATTTACAAGACCACATGCCAATCAAAAGGCTGCCCTCATTGCCGGAAATAGTTTCCCACTGATCAGATAGTGCAAGTGAGATAAAAGGAGGAGAAGGAGAGAGCAAGACATAGTGGGGAAGAGGGGGAGGGAGAAGAGATGGAGAGATGCAGGGGGAGAGGAGAGGGGGAATGGAGGGGGAGGGAGTGGGAGAGAAAACCGCCTTAAAACGCTTCATTAAATTTATTTTCGAAAAATAAAACTGTTTAGAAATACTTCTGCTAATGATTTTGATCCTGCGTACACACACACACACACACACACACACACACACACACACACACACACACACACACACACACACACACACACCAGTCCTGGGGCTTGAACTCAGGGACCCCTGAACTTTTTTGCTCGAGGCTAGTGTTCTACTACTTGAGCCACAGCTTCACTTCCAGCTATTTCGGTGGTTACTTGGAGATAAGGGTCTCATGGACTTTCTTGTCCAGGCTGGATTCAGAACTTGATCCTCAGATGTCAGTCTTCCAAGTAGCTGGGATTACAGGCATAAGCCACTGGTACCCTGCTCATAATTTTAATCATTTATTATTTGCTGTTTTATTTCTATTGGCATGATTTCAAACTTGTTATGAACTATTTATAAGAGTTTGATGGAAATATACCTTGCATAACAAAAATATTCATTATATTGCCTAGAATGTGCTAGCAAAATAATTTCTTCTAGCTCCTTTCAGCAGTATGGCATGGGGTTATTTCCTTTCATTCCCTATAGAAGGAAGAGCAAATAAATATGCCAAAATAGTTTGATAGCTGTTGAGATCATTTAAAACACATTTAGGAATCTGGGCACAAATGACTCTCACCTATAATCCCAGCTGCTCATGAGGCTGAGTTCTGAAAATAGAGAGTTGAAGCTAATCTTGGCAGACAATTTGAAAGACTCTTACCTCCAATTAATCAGAAAAATCCAGAAGTGGAGTTGTGGCTCACATGCAAGAGTGCCAGCCTTGAGCAAGAAAGCTAAACAAGGGTACAAGGCCTTGAGTTCAAGCCCCAATACTGGTACACCCACAGAAATAAAATATTTAGAGAGCATTTCTTTTGTAAAATTAATTCAATCTTCTTGTCTCCTAAAGTGTAACTTAAGTTTTTCAAATAAAGACTGCTCAAGGGTCAGAAATCTGTAATTAGATCTAGCACACAAATTAAAAGAAACCTAAGTGTATTAATATTTTACACATTTTTAAATGTACTATATAAAATAACAGGTTTTAAAATTTTACAAATAGTCAAAGTGCCTGGATCAAAACACCTAATCTTACTATAATTCTAGACTTTTCATTTATAGGGGCACATACAAAGCCATTGTAAAATGGAATTGGATGACCTGACTGCACTGGATGAAAGAAAGATTTATATGTAGGTTGAATATATTTATGCATAAAAGCTAGTTCTTAGTGGCTTCATTTGTTTAGAGATACTGATTTTGTCAATAGCAAGACTCTGTTTTCTAATGGCGTTAAGAGGATCTCATTGGCTTCTGACTTGACAAATGAGGGTAGAAGATGTGGAAATCTACCCAGTGGCGGAGAACACTGCCTAAGAAGGGACCAGAGTCTCCTTGTAAAGGCCAGAATAGCTCCATGCTGGAAATAGTCACGGGTGCCGGAGGGAGATGGCCTTTCTCCATGTGGGTATTTGAATGACGTAACATTTAATGCCTGTTCCTTGCTAACACAAACATTTATGTTCCAGAGAAATGCCAGGCACTTCCTTAGTATGCTCTCAACAGAGCTATGATGGTAGGAGTCCTCCAGTCTTACATCAATTAAAACCAGGATTCTGTATTTCTATCTTTTTCATATTGTCATGCTAGGCGTACAACCCAGGACCTTGGGCAAGCTAGGCAAGCACTCTTCCACTGAGCAATCCCATGAACTCATTTGTGTTGCATTTATTTTGTTTTTGAGATACCTCTGCCTTGGCTGGCATTGAACTTGCAACCTTCCTATCTGTTACAGAGAGGATTACAGGCAGGTGCTACCATACAGCAGGTTCCTGAATTTTACTCAGAGTATTGGCTGCGATATACACCACATTAAAATATGGTTCCATTATAGTAACTTTTACACCCAGTTTGAGTAGTGGGAGTTTATAGTCAAAATAGATTATTATATCAAAGGCAATTTCCATAAGATGGTATGTACTAAAATGAGTAACAATAAGAGACATTTCCTTCCATCTTAACTCAAACTCCTATGGTAAGATTGACAAAACAAAGGGGAAGAACAAAGCTTTCCTTAACTTTGTTCTTTGGTATTCTATCCTAAATGGCCAGTTCCCTTATTTATCTGAGTCTGGCAAGGATCTCTATATTCACAGAATCCATTAAAATTCACAATCAGAGCCAGGCACTGGTGGCTCATGCCTATAATCCTGGCTACTCAGGAGGATGAGTTTCACAACCTGTGAAGTGAGGATCAAAGTTTGAAGCTAGCTCAGGCAGGAAAGTCCATGAGACTTTTATCTCTAACCACTAAAACACCAGAAAGGGAGCTGTGGCTCAAGTAGTAGAGCACTAACCTTGAGAGAAAAAGCTAAGGGACAGAATCCAGGCTTGAGTTCAAGCCCCAGAATTAGCACACACACACACACACACACACACACACACACACACACACACACACACACACACACACACACAAATTACAATCAACCAAAGCAGTAATTTGGTCACTCCATTATAATGGGAGCAGAAAGTTTCTGGTGTACAAAACAATTTCTGATTTCCTTATTTGCATCAGTGAGAGTTGCCTGATATTTTCACATGCACCTAACCTTTGCACTCGAAAGTGTCTAATACAGAACAATCTGATAGTGTGATCCTTAAGCATATGTTTATACACGACTTATATCTCAAAGAGTCCTAAAGGAAATAGTACTGGGTGGGCGTATGTAAAATGTAGCATTATCCGTTTTTTGTCTGAACTAATTGCAGACTGAGCTGAGAGGTCATTCCCCGATAGATGATAGGGTAGAGCTGTGATATCTTGATCTTCCTGCTGAGTTTGTCACTGTGGGAAGCACCTACATTATTCTGTGAGAAAATTATTGGAAGAAAGTCAGAATCAATGTAATACACTTGATAAGTTACCCAGGTGGCCCAAAGATGAGCCATGAATCTTTGGGAATGGGTTATCACTAGTAGAAAAGTAAATAAAAACAAAGCAAGTCCCTGCTTCATTAGTAGACTATTCATTTTCATGTTCTAAAACAACTATGGTATATTTATTCCTCACAGGATCTCCAAAGGCTCCTGTGTCCAGTGTCAGCTCCTGATTGTGCTTAGTTATTCAACACTTGTGGAATTGTCTCACGACATCTCCCTGCATTCTCACCAATTGGAGATAAGTGTTTCAGGGGCTTCCCTACTGGATTAGCTTTGAACCGTGAACTTTATATCTCAGCCTCCTGAGTAGCTAGGATTACAGTTGTGAGCCATTGATGCCTGTCTTCTAACTTCTTTAAAAAAAAAAAAGAAATATAACATCTGTACACATTTATAGGAGCACATTCTGCTAACACAAAGCATATCTGTGATGTGTAGTAGTCAAGTAAGGATAGTATCTGTCTTGCTTTTAACAATTAGCTTATAAATCCCCCAAATCACTTACCAAAGAGAATATAGTATTAGTTATTCCATCAACCAGTGGGAACATAGGACATTAAATGATGCAATTCCTTTGAGAACTTAGAAAACATGTGCTTTTATATTTATAAATAAATGTACTTAGATAAAACATTGAGCTCACCTGGTAGCTTTCTACTATTTTTTCTAAAACATGCTTCCAGTGAACTGAAATCTCAGAAGAGGATAAGACTTTGACACCGACTTCCGTAGGGGCTTCACTGGGAGCTGAAATTAGATGAAAATACATTATGTTGGGTGTTAATATGAGGAAATTTGAATAATACTTCAATGTGTAATAATGACAACTGTAAGTCAACATTTGGAAAATAAACTAAATTCTATAATTTTAGAATATTTTCCTTTATTGTTAATGATACTTGTAGTTCATGGTCATTGGTGACACATGAACACATATGTTCATATACACAAATATTTGCAGAAAAGGTGAGATAAGATGATGTTTAGCGAAATGAACCCCAAGATAGGGACACAAGTGTTTTTTTCTTCCTTGCTATTGTTTCTAACGTATTTATAAGGTACCATGTGATTTTTTTTTTTTGTTGTTGCTTTGTACGGTATAACCCCTGTTTTCACTGTATTTGATGTTGGTATAATTTGGGGAGGGGAAGGGAAAAAACAAATTGTTTAAATAGGGATACAGATTGACCCATTGCAACAATGAGATGTACAAGATGCTATGTGGAAAAACGAACTTTACAATTTAGGCAGGGGGTTGGGAGGAGGGGGTGTAGCTGAGGAGGCAGGAGGGAAGGGATGGTAGGGGTAAAACAAAGGAGGAGGCAACAAGGCTGGATAAGAAATGTACTCATTACCTTGCTCATGTAACTGTAACCCCTCTGTACAGTATGTTCACAATAAAAAACTTAATTAAAAAGACAAAAAACCCACAAATATTTTTGCAGACATACATGCATACCTACAGACTTTTACAAATTATGATATTCTTTGGGGAGTTCATCGAAATCTATGAGCAAGAGCCTTAGTATTCTCTTATATCTCAAACCTGCAATATTTAAGAAAACCTTTTGATACAAATTAAAATTAATTACATTTAGTGTATCAATTTCATCTTGCCAAAAATAAGAAACCTGGTATTTATTATAGAAATTATTCATTGTAATGAATTTCTCTTACTTGAGATTTAAAAGAACTCACAACACCTGGTCATATTGTTAATGAAATTTCCTTCTTTTATATTCAAGCTAAAGATTTAAAAAAAAGTTGAAACAAGTTGTAACATCCACTGTTTCTTGGGCTCAGGAAAGCTTTGATATGTCTAATCTCCCTACTGGGCATCAAGTCAAATATGTATCATGAAAAGCCTCGGTTCGGGGGTAAAATTAATTTACATCCCTTCTGAAATATACACAAAGAATCCAAGGAAGCCTTTAAGTAGGAGTGATCAATTTTTATTGTCCTTCATTAATAAGTCATAATCTGATTTAATGTTAAAAATGTAGGACACATGAACACTGTTGCCTTTCTAAATCAAAGCAATCATGTAGCACTAGGATTGATTTCATACTGGAAGAAGGGAAAGATTAACAACTTACACAAGTTTCAGCATATGGGAGTTTTATGAAAGCCTTCGAAATATTTCGGACAGAAATATAAGGAAAAACAAATGGCCAGGAGTTAAAAAGATGGACAAGCAGGGTCTTCTGCCCCAAAGCTGACTTTAAAGCAGAAAAGAATTGATATTGGATGCAAAGAGAACTTGTAATCTACTTTTTTTTGTTAAAAATATATATATTTATTTCCGTTTTTAGATCTTCAGATGTTACAGGCCATCATGATTTAAATATGAGGGAAAAACATTTTTAGAAAGGATAAGAACCTTTTGTTTAAAGAATGAAATATAAATTGTTAATTCACTTTTAAGAAACAAAATTCACAATAACCTATTAAAAATCATTTTCTCCCTTAACTTAATGGAGATTCTCTCTAGTGAAGCTATTTTTTTTTTTGGGTCTGGTCGTGGGGCCTGAACTCTGGGCCTGGGCGCTGTCCCCCAGCTCTTCAGCTCAAGGCTAGCGCTCTACCACTTGAGCCACAGCGCCACTTCTGGCTTTTTTCTTTTTGCTTATGTGGTGCTGAGGAATCGAACCCAGGGCCTCAGGCCTGCAAGGCAAGCACTTTTACCACTGAGCCACCTTTCCAGCCTTCTAGTGAAGCTTTTTGTAAGAAGATAAAATTTTTCATTTTCTTGAGACTGATTTGATGAAAGGGCATGTGGTGTCCCCAAAAACGTCTGATGAACATTAAAATGACTAAACTGATGGGACACATTTAATTCATTATGATAAACCCAAGAATGGCTATATGACTCTTGTTCTGAATTGCTGTCCTCTCCTTCACAGCATACTATATGAATAGGAGCTCTCTCTTCACAATCAAGTTGGTAAGTCTTATCTTGTAATAAACTTTTTTGCACGTCTAGAGACGATTGCAATTCAATTTGGATATTCTTTTTTTGATCTGTTCCACTTGATCCTTTGGTCTCTTTCGCCAATATTTCTGAATGAAAACTGCTGAATATTTCCATATGTGAGATTTCATCCCCTGAATCTAGAGACATATCCTCTTCATCCTTTTCATCGTTTTCTAAAAGAGCTGACTGGGATTCAAGATTCTCAGTAGCACTAAGCATTGTAATCTACTTTTAACTTTCATTTCCTCTGTGATACGTAGTCAGGTTTTAAAACATTGTTAAAATTGAGTCAAGGTATCTCATTCCAGCTGAGTAAGTGTGCGCACTTGGGTATCTGTCCTGCCATTGGGAGGGCTCCATTCCTTGATTATGAACTTAAAAGAGGTCTACTTTTTATTCTTTCAGGGTATTTAGGAAAGCTAAGTGACTCCTGCAACTACCTTTAATGTATTTACTTCCAGGTAAATTTCATTATGTACATTCAAGGTATCATGAGATACATAAAAAGTCATGCTGGCATGGAAACTACAGGTCAGGAGATTATCTGAACACGTGATACATTTTTGACAAAAACAAAAATTGCTAAGTTTATGATGAAGAACATATTTGAGAGTTTCAGAGTTCTAACTTTTAAAGTTTCTAGAGCGCATTTTATTTTGGAAAGATAACACAAATGGGGTAAAGTAGTAGCACATATTTCTTTCAAGAGAACAGAAAAGTACCTCTTGAAATCTCATTTTATTTTAAACGAGTTTCACGCATACAATGCATTTTAATCATATTCCTGGCTTCTAATCTTTCTTCTTTCATCCTCTCGTTGGTCTTCCATCCCACCTGAAAAGCCCTTATGATTCATGCCCAGTTCTTCTTTAGATTCTCTACCCCCTTCCTTCTTTTCCCTCCTCCTTCTGTCTTACCCTCCTTCTATCCCTCTCCTCCTTTCCTTTCTCCCCCTCTGCCTTTCCCACTTTCCTTCCTTTTCCTTCAGTATTAGGAAGATTGAATTCAGCGCCTTCCTCCACAAATGTTCTACCATTTGAGTCACACCCCAAACTCCTCACTAGTTTCCATTCTTGAATGCCTCTATTTGTGTTTCACTCTCCCACAGGAGCCAGGAGAAACTTTGCCAAAGGTAAATATATTAGAGCCAGAAGGCAATGAGATCTTTGTTGGCTTTTCTAGCCTTTAATTATTTTCATAGTGCACATCAGTAAGAGATATAATATGGAAGTTTTATCTTTTAAATAGGTATATTAAAATGATGATGTGGGTAACAATAATGGTAATGAGACATGAATATAAAAGAGGGACTGTCTACGAGGGGTAGGGGAAAGAAGAGGGTACTGAGAAAGATATATATGTATATATATTCTATCTACTATCTATAATTATCTATCATCTCTAGCTATCTATCCTACTTATTATCTAGCTATGTCTATCTAAACAATCATTCATCTATCTATCTATCTATCTATCTATCTATCTATCTATCTATCTATCTATCTATCTATCTATCTATCTATCTACCTATCTATCTATTGCATAATGAAACCCAACAAATGCTGTTTTGAAATGGGACTATGGAAAAGGGGATGAGTTTGTTCAGAACTATCACAGTGAAACTGCTCCATATTAACAAATGTATTCTAACTCAAAAAATGAAAAACGTAGTTTCAATGGGAAATCAGGGCAAACAATTCAATTGTGCTTAATCTTGAACTGTATGACATTTAGAATTTATAGAGAGAGGCCTCTCTGAGCATTCTCAGTTTAGCTAAACTTACTAGGAAAATGGGAAGTGTAATGTCAGTATTGTTTTTCTTCTTTAAATGGCCAACAAGACAAACATTTCCTTTTCAAAGAACAATTTTCAATGGATTGATCTTCTTTTCATATAATTATCTAGCTTCCCTTGAATACAATTCTAGTTCTTTGTTGTAATAATGAAAATGCTTACAATTACACCAGTATAATGAATTTTGAGTCGAAATTTTGGGCAACTTTATAAAAATATATATGTTCTAAAATTTTTAAGTAGACTTTGTGAGTATACCAGCACACTGAAGTTCAATCAAGTGTGGAGAATTTCAGATAATAAAAATTTAATACAGAGGCCAGGAATAATAGCTCAAAGTTAATTATTTTTATAAAGTTTTCCTAATGATCATGGACACAATCTAAAGAACCAAAAAGATGTTTTTAGGAACATTTTTTTGTCATTTCCATAGAGAAGTTGACATCTTTTATTAGCATACATTTTGTTTTGTTATCATGAAGCTGGGATTGAACTCAGGGTCTTTCACAGACAGGGTAAGTGCTCAAACACTGAGCTACATGCTCTTTCTTAGCATACATTAATTGCACAAGGGAAGGGGCTTCACTGTGACACTTCCATATATGTATACAACATATTCCAATCTTTCCTCCTATCACTCTTCCTTACCCAGCTCCCTGCTTCTTTATAAAATTTCAAGAGGTTTTCTTGTTCTCTTTTCATACTTAGAGGTTGAGATTTTAATTGGGCTCAGAGTAATACTCATTTACTAAACACATAGTAATACCAAAAGGTTTCAGGCCAGATGCTGGTGGCATTCTCCAGTAATCTGGGTACTCAGGAGGCTGAGATCTGAGGATCCAGTTCAAAACAGAAATATCCATGAAACTCCAATTAACCAGCAAAAAAGCCAAATGAGAGTGCAAGGCCTTGAGCTTAAGCCCAGTACCAGCACACAAAACAAATAAATAAAGTAATAGGGTTTTTTTTTTTAAATAAAAAAGAACTGGAAGAAAGCAAACACGGGTGAATAAGGTTTTTCTTCTTTCCCCATGGAATTTGTTTTACTTACCATCCTGTGCTGAGTTAATGACAGCTATGAGGCTGTACGGCCCATCTCCTTTGTTGTTGAAGGCTTTAACTTTTACTTGAAAGGCAGTAGAAGGGCTCATGGATTCATCCTTATGGACGTATCTGCCAGTGTCTGGATTAGTAACTGTCACTTTTTTCCATTCTTCTCCATCAAATGGCTTAAAAGCCACGATGTAACCAAAATTGTTGCCATAATGGTATTCTCTTGACAAGGGCTACATGAGAAAGAAGATATGAAATAGGTTCTGTAGGTTGTGGTTCCATAAGAGGATTCCCAGGAGAAGGAAGATAAACCTGGAAGTCTTTATTTACCCTGACTAACAATGCAGGACCATAGGCATGCTCAAAACCATAATAACCTCATTTTTTAAGCTGCATTCTTAGCATTCCTTCAGCATTGGGGGGGGGGGGGGGGTGAGCCGGTCTCCCATCTTGGGTCTTTCTACTGTTAGTTCCTTCTGTCTGGGTTTCTCAAACTCTTACAAGGCCCCCTACCAGATGTTTTCTCTCTCCACAGGAGTAAGTTTGGCAGGTGTGAGCCACTAGTGCCTTGCTTTAAAAAAAAAAGTTTTTTTTAATTTAATTTTTTAAAAAATATCTTTAAGTAGTCGTACAAAGGAGTTTGAATTCAACAATCTATGAGTATAATGGATCAATGAATGGGTTTTGGTATAAAGTGTGTAAATGAATCTTGGCTTGGAGTTTCATAATGTTTAGGGAAAATACTATATATTATTACTTGGCTGCCAGAAGACCACAGAATTTAAAATATGTCTGGCATGGATGTTTATTCTTTAGGGCTCATGAAGCCATGAGCATCTGGTATTCTTTGACTTTCAAGAAATCTCTACTAAGCTAAAGGAAACTTTATATTAATATACTTTAAAAAACTAGTTATTTATTCCAGTTTGTAGATTGATCATTTTATTTTCAATTAACTTCAAAAAAACAAAATGGGCCTCAGGTGGAGTACAGATAAAGCGTCAATAGATCATAAGTGCTTAGAACCTACCGCCCAGGTAATGGTCAGTTCCCTGTTGCTTCCACCCCCACCGCCTACATCAGATGGAGCCACATTGGGTGCTGAAAGAAACACACAAAGAAATACATAGAAGAGCAACAAAAATGAATACCATGTGGTTTGTTTTTCTGGTGAGAGTTCTTGTTTACCACAGAAACCAGGAAGTTTTCTTTCACAAGGAAAAACAAGCCGTACATAATATATCTCATCAATTATAATAACAGTGGCTCATAGAGGCTGTAATGATGCTTTTTCTTCCCCTGCCAAGATAAAAACTGATTCATTGCCACAGGAAATACGCCAGTACCTCTCAGCAGAGAATCATGCAACAAATTAGTTTCCACCATCTCTCTCCCTTCTCTCTCTCTCTCTTCCTTTCTCCCACTTTCTCTTTGCTGTTGGTGTCCCTACATTTAATATGACCATAAGAGATTACTTGATACACACTCCCAAACTATTTTTCAGTGCAAATATTTTACAGTTCTTTTTTATTTTATTTTTGATGCCAGTACTGGGGCTTGAATTCAGGGCCTACCTGTTGTCCCTTAGCTTCTTCTTTTTTTTTTTCCTTTGTTGCTCTACCACTGAAGCCACACCTGTACTCGCAGCTTTTTGTTGGTTAATTGGGGATGAGAATCCTATGGATTTTCTGCCTGGGCTGGCTTTGAACTATAGTCCTCAGGTTTCAGCCTCCTGAATAGCTGAGATTACAGGCATGAGCTCTTACTCTTGAACTCTATATACTTCTAGCAACTTAGAATTGTGTAACTTTTATGTTTCCTGTACTAATAAGTGTTAAAAGACATTCTGTATTTACATTAACATGGAATAATGTTCCCTCAAAGTATCCATAAATAGGAGGACTCTAATATTGTCTCTTATATGCTCTCACTTCCAGTTCCTAAGTCTTTCTGGAACCTTCGCTCCATCAGTGACTCCAATCCCCTACCCCCATCCCATGACATCACCTCGGGTTTCTCTGCTGAAAGACTCCACAGGCTGCACTTTCTATGTGAGAAGAACTTTCCTGTCCTGCTGCTTCCTCTTAATCCCCAAGTCTGCATCACACTCAGTCATGAAGTGTATGAAGAGCCTGATATATGGTTTTTTTTTTGTACTTGACTTCATAATTACTTTTCAACAACCTAACATGCATTTCTACTTATTTGTGTTCCTGAAAACTCTCCTTTGGGGGAAAAATCACATCCCAATGGGCTTCTTTATGTTGTTTTTTGTTCTTTTTCTTTCTTTCCTTCATTCGTTCTTCCTTCTCTCTTAGAAACCCTTTCAGGTTAGGCACTAGATCTTGTTGAGTGTGTAGAATGAGCCATTAATGGGAGGGGTGCAGATGCACAAGTACCTCTTTCTGTATTCTCTGAAGGACAATACAGGGGAAAGTTCAGGTATTCAATGAGGAAGACATACTTTTTAATTTTATTGCTAGTCCTTGGCTTGAACTCAGGCCCTGGGCACCATCCCCGAGGTTTTCTGCTCAAGGCTAGCCTCTTATCACTTGAGTCACAGCTCCACTTCTGGCTTTTGATGATTAATTAGAGATAAGATTCTCATAGACTTTCCTGACCAAGCTGACATTGAACTGTGATCCTCATATTTCAGTCTCCCAAGTAGCTAGGATTTACATGCAGGAGCTACCAGCAACCCAGCAAGACATACATTTTTCTCACACAAAGATATTGGCTCTAGGTGAGAGATCATTTCCAAATCTAGCACTTTGAAGTGATGGAATGTCATTTTTTTAGGAGTCCCTAAGTCCTGTCTCAACAGGACCTGGCTACCCCATTTTCAGAGTGCTCACTGAATTTTGATTCAAAGAGACATACTTCAAATTTCTATATGCTAGCCATTAAGATTGTGTGTGTGTGTGTGTGTGTGTGTGTGTGCGTGTGTGTATGTTGAAATATACATACATTGTACAAAAACAAAGGTGTGGTTTTCCTTATATCTAAAAATGAAATGATTTCATGATTAAATATAAGGGGTGTGTGTGTGTGTGTGTGTGTGTGTCCCAGTACTTGGATTTTGAACTCAGGGCCTGGGTACTGTCCCTTAGCTTTTTCACTCAAGGCTAGTGCTTTACCATGTGAGCCACAGCTTTTTCTAGTGCTTTACCATGTGAGCTACAGCTTTTTCTTCATGGATATAAAATTTTCATAGACTTTTCTCCCCAGGCTGGCTTTAAACCTCAATCCTCAGATCTCAGCCTTTTAGCTAGGATTATAAACATGAGCCACCAGTGCCTGCTAAAATTTGAGAGATTTTAATTTTTTATTCAACTATTACCACATGAGTTTTAGCAGGTAAAATGGGTTACATAGGAACATTGAAAGATAAAGTATTGGTAGCTCTTACATTAAAATACACATTGAAGGCTGCTATATTAAAATAATTCTGGAAACTTCTAACCCCATGATTCATAGTTTGAAGTAAAAACTCTACATGCTATAGAAAAACAAAAAGTGCATTGTCCTACTATAATGAATAAGTCAAATATAATTTGTTCAACTTGAGATGGAAGTTAAGTGGTCATAGGCAAAAAATGTTAAAAAACTGAAATAATTTATTATACTACAATTTGTTGAATCAAATTTTGCATTCCTGGGAACAAACATATTTGCCAAAGCATTCTTCTGTAATGCTTTTCCTTAAGACCAATTTTCTTCTTTTTATTTAGAACAGAACTAAAAATGAATTATGTGTATATTCCATTGGCCACATTTCCATTTTATAAAGTTTGTTACATTCTTTGTTTTTTCTCTGTTAGTACTAGGTCTTGAACTCAAGGCCTTGCACTTTCAGTTTGCTTTATCCATGCAAAGCTGGAGCTCTACCATTTGACCCATACCTCTACTTCCAGCTTTTTGCTCCTGATTTAGAGATAAAGAGTCTCAGGTACTTTCTGGCCTGGGCTGGTTTTTAACCTCTATCTTCACATCTCAACCTCCTGAATAGCTAGCATTACATGCATGAGCCACTAGCACCTGGATTTACAAATTGTTCTTAGCATGCGACAAGTTAAGTGATTCAAGATTGATTCAAAAATTACCATTACACCCATGCTGTTGAATACAATCAACAAAAGCACAGAGATAAAGTTATATCTTAGGAGTGTTTGCACAGTATGCTTACATTAATTATTGACTTAATTTCTCCCACTTAGTTTTGCATGCTTATTTTCAGCCTAAGCTGGTTGGTGGAATATTTGTACATGGAATTATGCACCAACACATATCCATCTTGAACCTTGGAATATTAGTTGCTGCTCTATTTGTTCTAGTCCCACTAAAACCAGAGGATCCGCCACATAGTGATTAGCTAAAGGAAAGTAAATCACCCTACACACAAGGACATTTATTTAATTTCAGGCTCCAGGCCATTCTTTGAACAATAAATCATTAATACAAGTTTAAGCTAATATTTAGAAAAATACTAAGATTTGGGTATGAAAGGTGGATAACAGTGAGATGTTTTAACTTGTCATTTTGCAATATTTTAAATGGAATAGAGACTATCCTAGGTTGTTTATAAACATGTCTTAGCATTTCAGGTATAGCCCCCCCCACCTCCAAAAAAAATAAGTCAGAGCTGGGCACTGAGCAGAGTGCTGGTGGCTCATGCTTATAACCCTAGCTACTCAGGAAGCTGAGCTCTGAGGATTGGGGCTCACAGATAGCGTGGACAGTAAAGTCTGTGATACTCTTATCGCCAATTAACCACCAAAAAAGCCAGAAGTGGAGCTGTGGCTCAAATGGTAAAGCACTAGTCTTGACCTAAAAAGCTCAGGGACAGTGCTGAGGCCCTGAGTTCAAGAATCAGAATTGGCACCAAAAACAATAACAAAAAAATCAAATCAGTTCTATGATTATTTTTCTCCTGTGAAAAAAAAATTGGGCTGGGAAGGTGGCTCAGTGGTAGAGTGCTTACCTTGCATGCATGAGGCCCTGGGTTCGATTCCTCAGCACCGCATAAGCAAAAAGGAAAAAAGCCGGAAGTGGCGCTGTGGCTCAAGTGGTAGAGCACTAGGCTTGAGCTGAAGAGCTGAGGGACAGCACGCAGGCCCAGAGTTCAGGCCCCAAAACTGAACTCCCCCCCCAAAAAAAAGAACAAAAAGAAAAAACTAACACTGTTTATTTTCTTCTGGTATTTGAATGTCTAAATACTTGGCATTTAAATACATTCATCACTTTAACTCATTATGATTTTTAAAAAAAGTTTCATAAGAGATTCAAAGTGGTAACATAAGTAATGTTGTGATCCAGAGCATTAACAAGTCTAACACTTTTTGTTATGCTATCCTGACATCTACATCCTTAAGCACTTAAATATCTAATTCCAAAGAGATGGTAATATGAACAAAGAAACTGTATGATTTTTTGGTCATTCCAAAACCAAAAGATCTTTGTAACTGATGTGATGCTGGTTTGATGCTGGAGCAGATTGCTAACACTTTTAAGGCATCTACCTTGTGGAACTGGTGTTCTTCCCATTGTACATAAGAAAGACATGGAGGCCAAGACACTTCACAGCAATATTGATGTCTTAGCATCCTATAAGGAAGAAATGGTAGGTTTTGTTTTTTATTCTCAAACAGTAAAATGGACACAGGCAAGGCAGGATTCCTTAAGTCAAAAGGTCAGTTACAGAACTAAAATAAACACAATGCATAGCAAAATTCTTACAAAGACTCCAAGCTAGTTGTTATAGAATATTTAAAATAAGCAAAAGTATGTATAATTCCTAGTTCACTCTTTGGCAAATGTCATTTGTTTGAAAGGAAATCAAAATAGATTTGGCTCTTCTACATCATAATGTTTACAAATTTCACTCGTTTTGTGGGATATTAGGGCTTGAACTTCAAGGCTTTATACTCATTCTTAGCTTTATCAATCAACACTGGTGCTCTACCATTTGAGCCACACCTCCATTTTGTTTTTTTTTGGTGGTAAATTGGAGATAAGAGTCTCATGGACTTTCCTGGCTTTGAACTGTGATGGTCAGTTCTCAGTCTTTTGAATAGCTAAGCTTACGGTGTAAGCTACCAGTG